ACACTTTTCTTAATTGCGTATCATCGCATGGAATATGAAATATTGTTTTGTCGTCCAAAATCGTGTTTTGGAATATGAAATACTTGGCTTCGGAAATACTGTTTCTGTCGACAGTACTCCAAATAATTCATAATTATTGACTCGTTTCTTAAGAAATTCTTTGCATATTAATATCGATTTAATGCGTATTCTACTGTCTGTCTAACCTACAGATGTAAACAATTGTTTAAAATAAGCTTTCATTGACTGGGATCATTGTGGACATGTGCTTGCAATGTTTTGCTACAGAATCCTTTTCAAATATGAGCTTCTAGTTTAGACCGCATGGTCAACAGAAGTGAATATCTGTAGCTGAGCTGATGTGCGATTTCTCGGATCCTCTCCACATTGTTGTCCTCCTCTTCATCGGCGGAGTCACGTTGGGCGGTCGCATGTATCTGTCAGCTTTCTTGGCAGTATCATTATCTCCATCACTTCAAGTCAACTTTCCTTGTGACGCGTCCATTTCGTTCGATATTCCCTTTTACTTGATGCTCGTCGTGGTAAAACCGTCCGCCTCGCAGCATTTCGCGTGAGCTTTCCGCTGGGAGGAACTGCGAAGTCCAGTGCGTTTGGCGTGCGCAGGCCTTGCGGGAGAGCGACGACGATCCTCGACGGCGCACGCATGCGTTCACATAAGCATAACACGTGAGACGTTGACTTTAGATCTTGCAAGCTTCTGTGCTTACGCTCAAGTAAGGAATAAGAAATGAACCAATCACAGTTCATTAACTGAAAATCGAGTATCGAAATAGGATCGAAGTCGATAGATCGAAGAAAAGAGACTGTTTCCAGGTTGCGTGGTTGATTTTCGGCGGTTTTCTGTGTTGTTTTGTAGCACAAGGTATTTTTGTAAATTAGTTTTGTTGTATTGATAGTATTTAGTTTTTATTCAATTGAAATTAAAATATTATATAAATCGAACCCGTAGGCCATGGACGCAGTCGATATCTCGAAATCGATTCTCATGTTCAACAAATACTAAACTAGACTGTACCACAGACAATATAAAAATCTTATTTTGCCTACGTTTATGTTGGTCATTGTGAATACTTCAGTCGATCACCTTTGTTAAAGTGTATGTATACGCGTTATTCTTAGGCTTAGGTTTGCATTGTGAATGGGCGAGGTACACGGTGTTATTTCCTCCGGAGAGACACGATATGAGAAGCTTTTAATATGAGAGTTTTTTAACGGTCCTCTCCAGTATTTTGGGTGTCTTACAAACGTGAAATTTCTGTAGCTTTGTGGACAAGGCACAGCCTTATGTGCGAATATTTTTTGTTGACAAATAGCTAGAGCGACTAAATGGAACACTCGTGGAATGCGTTGTGAAAGTGGCAATAGAACAAAAACCTCCGCGTGTCAATAAGCTTCTTTGTAAAAATATCGACAATTGGACGTCCATTTCTCGGGCTTTCGACCTCCGCTGTTGAGGCCAGAAAATGTAACATTCCCTATGCATTTTTACGTCTCAAATGGCTTAAGTCGACTCGCTTCGCTCACGAAGCTATTATAAAAATAATTGAATGAAAAGTAAAAACCCATGTTCACGAATACGTTGAGGTGTAAATAACTTGTGTACATTCACAGTCTAAAGTATAATTTTTCGGGCTGACGATATTTTACGAACGCCTTGCCGGCTTAAGTAGCCACCGTTCAATCACGTAAGTCGTTCCGCTTTATATTTTGAATCGCCGCCATCTGCACAGCGCATTCCACGTGCGCTGTATTTTCCTGTTTAAGGCGATAATGTACGAGGAGCATTCAATAATTAAAGAGACAAATTGCTCTGGAGAAGAAAAAACGTTTATTTTTACATAACAGAACATTTCCTACTTGTCAATACCAATATTTACCCACCAATATTTATTCACAAGTCTCAAAGGGTTATCAGCATTTTTATGCAAGGACCTCTTTATCTTGGTGTTTGAACCAATATCCTACAATTTTTGACATTCTCGTTATCTTGGAACTTCTTCCCACGTAATGCCTCCTTCACTGGACCACACAAATGGAAATCGAAAGGTGCTAAATTGGGGCTGTAAGGGAGGACAGTACTTCCCAACCCACTTTGTCGATCGTTTTCGCGTCTGATGGGCAGTGTGAGGACGTGCGTTTATTTTGCTGATAATCACACCGCTCCTATGTGATTCACAAAGGTTCCTTCTCGTGGCTGGCGTGTTCAAACGCGTTTCATAGTAGAATTGGCTGTTTATTGTACGCTGTCCTACGAGACACTCGTAATCACAAAAAACTGCTCCTTCAGCGTTCCAAAACACTTTTCCTGCTGATGTGGCCAATACGGTGTCCGTCAGTCACTGAATCGCGACCACTTTTGAACTGTTCGTCCCAGGTATATAAATTCCTGCAATTCATACGACTTTCACCATACACTTTAGTCATTCTGTAGTATATATTTGCTTGCTTTTCGCTTTCAGCAAGTAAAAACGATTCACGGAACGTTGTTCAATTATTGTGGAACTTTCAAGTGGAGTCGCCATCGTTTAACTTAATTTTGAGGTTATGAACACAACAATGCTGATCCATCAGATGATCAGGGCTCATCCCAGTGATGCCAACTTGAAGTTCTAAAATGACCCAACTTGTTCTACCAAGTGTTTTTCTCTAGACCAGTTTGCCTCTTTATTGCATGACCTTGTATCGGCCATCTCGTTGGCGCCCCGTGCGTGAACGCTGCCTCCCGCGCGCAGGTGACGCCAGGAGAGGAGAGGAGCGGGTGAGTGGGTGACGGGGCAGGCGGAGCCATGGTGAAGGTGGAGGCGGTGCCGCCCGAGGAGGCGCCGGTGGCGGAGGGCGGGGCGCTGCCGCTGGCGATGCCGCTGGGCGGCGTGGGCGTGGGCGTGGTGGACGGGTGCGGCGTGGGCGGCGGCGCCACCACGCTGGCCGGCGCGCAGGACACCATCTACCTGTGCAACTTCCGCGTGTCGGTGGACGGCGAGTGGCTGTGCCTGAAGGAGCTGCACGACGTGGAGTTCTCGACGGCGGCGGCGCCCGGCGCGGGCGACCCGCTGGGCGCGCCGCTGGACGACGACCTGGCCGACGCGTCGCCCACCTCGCCCGACGGCGCGCGCCCGGCGCTCGGTACGCTGCGTCTAGGCTGCATTCGAATAACAGCGTTAGAAAGCGGATTTACACGCAGTGTATGGCGCTGCTCAATCAAAGTTAATTCTTTGGGATGTTTACATACACAGAATATCAAAATCCCCCAAGCAGAATTTCAATGATTCAGTGAGTTAGTATTAATATCAAGAGCTCTCCCATGGTAACGTATTCTTAGGATTATGGTTACATACTATTATTCTAGAAGTTTCCTTTGTCATTTCATGTGTATATTATCAGTTTGGTGTCATATACTCGTGGAAATATTTGTCATGAAACATTATTCATGAGATTTCACAACCAATTTCCTACATAGTAATGGTTTGAATTCCTCTTCCCGGGTTAAAATCCTCCCCAAAGTATTATCCTGGTGTCTTAATGTTTCTCTCGATCAGTGTGTCAGATCAAAGAAACAATGTCCAAAACACTGAACCGATACAAATCCAAACAAACGCACAACTCTCGCAAACAAACGCACAACTCTCGCAGAAACAAAAGCACAACTCTCGCAAACAAACGCACAACTCTCGCAAAAACAAACGCACAACTCTCGCAAAAACAAAACGCACAACTCTCGCAAAACAACGCACAAACTCTCGCAACAAACGCACAACTCTCGCAAACAAAACGCACAGACTCTCGCAAACAAACGCCACAAACTCTCGCAACAAAACGCACAAAAACTCTCGCAAACAAACGCACAAACTCTAAGCAAACAAACGCACAACTCTCCGCAAAAACGCACAACTCTCGCCAAACAAAAAAACGCCCACAACGTTCGCAAACAAACGCACACTCTCGCAACCAAACGCACAACCTCCTCGCAAACCCAAACGCACAACCTCGCAAACAAACGCACAACTCTTCGCAAACAGAACGCACACTCTCGCAAACAAACGCACAACTCTCGCAACAAACGCACAACTTCTCGCCAAAGAAAGCACAACTCTCGCAAGAAACGGCACAAACTCTCGCAAAGAAACGCCACAACTCTCGCTAAGAAAACGCACAAACTCTCGCTAAGAACGCACAAACTCTCGCTTAAGAAACGCACAACTCTCGCCTAAGAAACGCACAACTCTCGCTAAAGAAACGCACAACTCTCGCTAAGAAACGCACAAAACTCTCGCTAAGAAACGCACAACTTCGCTAAGAAACGCACCCAACTCTCGCGAAGAAACGCACAACTTTCTCGCTAAGAAACGCACAACTCTCGCTAAGAAACGCACAACTCTCGCTTAGAAACGCAACAACTCTCGCTAAGAAACGCACAACCTCTCGCTAAGAAAACGCACAACTCTCGGCTAAGAAACGCACAACTCTCGCTAAGAAAACGCGACAACTTCTCGCTAGAAGGAAACGCACAACTCTCGCTAAGGAAACGCACAACTCTCGCTAAGAAACGCACAACTCTCGCAAAACAAACGCACAACTGCGAAACGGCAGTGGCCCAATTGTGCCATAGAAGATCTCGGGTCAAAAAGATCGCGGTGTTGAGTCCCGCCTCGGGCACCAGTCGTATTTGTGTTCGTCTTTTCTACCCCTCATTACTTCATTCAGTATTCAGATACCCCTAAAGTTAATATCAATAATGTGCGCTAATGACCTCGTAGTTATTGCGACCTTATATAAAACGAAAAAAGACAAGATCTCTCAAACACCAAAACTGGCAAACCTCTAAAATCGCCAAACACACACAAACCTCACATCCAAAACGCTAACCTCGCACAATCAAACGCTAAACTCGCGCAATCAACGCCAAAAAAAAACTCAACAATCAAACCGTAAAAGTACGTAAAAGCCCAAGCAGCAAGTGGAGCTGGTGGGCGGTGTTGTCAGCGCGCGACCCGTGTTCATCGAGCGGCGCAACCTGCTCAAACAATCGTCGAAGCTGATCGTTTGAAGGAGCTGATTCGAGAACGTCGCTGCCGCTTTCGGGCGCCATGCTGACTCGGAACACCATGCCGCTGCAGCACTTCTTCATCGTCGCTGGAGCACGTGCTGCGCCACGGGCCTGCGCCCCAAGAAGGGGCTGCTCGGCCCAACGAAGGAGTGTGGGGCATTTCCTTTGCAGTCGGTGGGAGCAGCACTGCTCCGAGGCGGCCGACATCACGGCCAGCGTGCGCACCTGCCTACCGTCAGCGTGCGCCCCGCCCCGCCCCCTCTCAATGACCCATTTTGCCTGGGGTACGGATCCTAGAAACACACATTCGGTAAAACCTGTAATTGAAGCCGACCGCTTAAACCTCTCTGAACACCACCCTTAGGTAAAACAACAACCCCTCTCAGCAACGTTTTGAAACGGACACAGAAACTTCGTGTAACCCTTGATCAATGAATTGTGTTCCCTTTGCTATTCCTTTCCGATTATCAAGTAATACAAGGATTCCCCAATAGCAACCACCTCTCTAAACGGACACTTTTTTCGTGGAACAACACGTGGTTCGCGTAAAACAGGTTTTCCTGTATTATTCTGACCGTTTGGGGTATTCAGCGGCAATTAGCTGTTGCCAGTGCAGTTGCATTAATCTGAGATCGTAGGGTTCAAATCTCGACGGTGTGGCATTTACGGCACTAGCTAAAAGCGGGGTCTAATTTCTGGCAGCCGGCTGTTCTCATTGTAGTTTTCCCTTGGTTTCAACCGATCAATTGCTCCGGAAGGCTGACGGTGCCTTAATTAAACGAGCCATGAGCTGCCCGACCTTTTCCTTCCCTCAACCGTTGTGCCTTTCTCTTCCCTTCCTCTCCCGATCAGACTCTTACCACGTATTCCGGGAGGCCTGTCAGCGAGCGTGGAGCCATGTTCCCGGCTAAAAGGTGGATACCTCGCTGGCGGTTTATATATATATATTATATATATAGATATATATATATATATATATATATATATATATATATATATATATATATATATATATATAAAATTGAATTAATTTTGCATAAAGCAAATACATTTCTGTCACATGTTTACAGCTGGTTAGTAAACATTTAAAAGAAGTTGTTTCTCTTGCTGCAACCACATCTTTCCCATTCAAGATGGAACTAAGCAATTCTATGCACAAGTACATAGCATTAGTAGCACACCACCATGTACCATCACTGCTCGTGCCTCCAGGATACCGTACTGCCACATCCCTCAACCAATAAGAAAATAGTAGTATCGTTTTGTCCAGCTTTGTATTTTTCCACCTAAGCTACTATTTCGTCTGAAAAAAACTTCCATTAAAATGTAATTTCATTTCACTTGGAATAACACTTCTGATATATTATTCTGTGCTATTTGGGAAGAATTATACATTTTCAGAGAATATAAACTTGATCTTCAAGGGCATGCACTTGCACTTTGAGCACAAAAGGCAAGCACTTTAGTGTGTTGTGTCAAAGATACTCCAAAACTCAGTGCAAACTTCTGGAAACTTAAATTCTTGTTCAAAAAGTGCTTTCAGCAGTGCGGTCTCATGTCTCTGATGATCTGTAAAACTAAATAGTTTTTTAGGATAATATTATGACACTTTGTAAATTGACAAGCAATTAGTTAAAACAAAAACCCTAGTGGAAAAAGATGCATGTTTAAAAGCAAGTACATTTTGAGTCAAGAATAAATACTAGATGTGTGGCAGAGGTGTTGATAATCAATTGTGAAATGTTATTTTTTTTTAATAATTAATAATGTTTACATTAAATGCCGACCCGGATGGCCGAGATAGCTGAGGCAGTTGTGCCATGGCGATCTCTGGCTGAAAGATCGCATATTTGAGTCCCGCCTCAGGCATGGTTGTATTTGTGATTGTCTTTTCACCCATCGTCATCACCCTATCACTTCATTGAGTATGAGTATTCCCTGAGAAAAGGCAGGAGAGCTTTGCCCTTACTGGGGTCTTAGTTGAGTAGTTAAAAAAAAAAAAAAAAATGTTTTAGGACACACATGGGTCGTGCACGAGCTTGGCTGCGATTGGCACTCATGCAGAAGAAGCTGGCAGACTATTTGAAAGTGCTTGTGGATCATCGAGAGGATTTGCTGGCTGAATATTACGAGCCAGACGCACTTCTGATGAGCGATGAAGCTGTGGTCATTGTGGGACTCCTAGTTGGCCTGAATGTCATTGACTGCAATCTTTGTGTTAAGGTGTGTTGGCTTCTGTTTTGGTGTTTTTGTTTTGATTTTGAGAAACATTATGAAATTAAGTTACTTATATCATCTTTAGCTGAAAAATGTCAACTGTGTTTTTTCATTTAAAATTGCTAGTTTTGAATATTTTTTTCAGCGAAGTTTTAGTGTTGCTAATTCTGTAACGCTATTTTTTTTTAAAAAAATGGTGCTAATTTTTTTAGTGATGCAAAGATTTTGAAGTGTACAATGCTTTGCCAAAAAAGGTCCTGCCTTATGTTTTAAATTGGTATTGAATCTAAATTTAGATTTAAATCAAGAAATAATTTGATTAATGAAAATAGGCAAATCAGTTATATCTTGTCCCGACTCTCGTATGCTTTTCTGTTATTATTGTTTTTATTATATAATATTATATATTATCATTATTGTTATCATTATTATAATTAACTTATTTTACTTGTTGGCATTGCTTATAGTTGATATTCTGCTCATAGATTTTTTTTTTTTCTTTTATCCAATAGGAGGAAGACTTAGATTGCCAACAAGGAGTTATTGATTTTTCTCTGTATTTGCGCTCTACGAATCATAGTGCAGTCAATTCCCCTGAGGGAGAGCTCGATCAAGACAATATGACTATGGTGCTTGACCAGAAGAATTATATTGAAGAACTGAATAGACATTTGAAGTAAGTTCCCATGTTTCTAGTTGAGTGAATGTGTTAATTCACACTGTAATTCACATTTGCACCTCACCTCACATGTTACACAGCAAGAAGTAATATGTGCATGAAGAGGATGTTAAATGGGGACAGAATGCAACCTCCTCTTTATATTTTATATGATGATGGTAATGATAATTATTCTCAGATTCAGAGGCTTTCTACATCATTGTGAACATCATGTCTTTAAGGATGTGTAATTGATTTGTGTGTGTGTCTCCATAATTCTTGTGTAAGAAAAAAAGAGACTACTGAAAAATCAAGAGTAAGAAAAATATACCTTTATATTCATAAACCTTCCAACATTGAATTTATTCAAACATTGATTTACAGTTTTTTGTGTGTGTGCAAAAGTTTAAGTAATTTTGTAAAGAACACGAGATAAAAAGTAAATTAGTAATTGCAAAATATTCACGGTTTCTTAAGTCTTTTAGAATAATTTTCCTATCAGTTTAGATTAGATAGATTTATTAAAGTTCGCTTTAAGCTAATGCTCAGTGGCAAACATGATAACAATTAGAATTAGAATTACTAAACATTTTCAACATTTTACAATTAGCGTTTACTATTAGGAATTACGGGTCGATATTATAGTTCCAATGTATGTTCTAGCTAACTCTAAATTCACGTTTCTAGTTTACATAACACTTTGACTAACACTTCACTTCACTTACACTACACATAACACTACATACATTCAACTTCACTTCAGCTGTATAAGACATGACGATAATAATTATAACGAATAAAATATATAGAAATAATAATAGTAATATTAATATAAAATAATAAATAATAATAATAATAATAATAAATATTAAAAAAGTAATAATATAGAAATAATAATTAAAGATAAATTGTCTCAGTCAGTATATTCGAGGGATGATCAGATGGAATGAAGCATTTTTTAAAATTTGGGCTACATTAGAAGGAAGAGCTCGAGTGCTTCTCGGGTAGTTTATTTCTATCTACTATAGTGCGATTCACAAAGGAGAACTTGCCCACATCAGTTCTTTGCTTTCTACATCGTATTTTCCAAGGATGGTCTCTGCTTTTATAATCTGATTTCTGTAATATTTTACTGATATCTGCCCAAGCTGTGTCCCCTCTGTATGTCTTATACATTACGCATAAACGCACCCATTCCCTTCTCTTAGATAAGGACTCCCCTTCTTGTTCGTCACCAACGCACCCGTGATGTACAAACTTTAAGGCTCGTTTTTTAATTTTATCTAACGCTTTGATTTACCCTTTTCTATATGGGTCCCAGCATGCTGCTCCGTATTCTAAAATTGGACAAACAAGTGTAGTATATGCAAGGGATCGAGCATTTGGACTACTATTTTTTAGAATACGCATTACAAAGTGCAGCGCTCTCCAGGATTTTTTAACTGTATTGTTAATATGATCCGACCAACGTAAGTCGCTTCGCAGAACCAAACCCAAATACTTACAGTTTTTTACATGTAGTATAACGTTAGTTCCTAATTCATAACTGGAGCATACGTTCGAGCGAGACTTCGTAATGCAAATGAATTTACTCTTTTTCTGATTTAATTCCATCTTATTTTTGCCCGCCCAGTTCCATAAACAGTTAAGATCATTCTGTAAAACATGTTCGTCCTCAGACGAGCCAATACTCCTATGTATTATGCAATCATCGCCGAAAAGTCTAACTTTTGATTTTAATCCAGTTGCAATGTCATTAATGAACGCTAAGAATAGCAAACGCCCTAACACACTCCCCTGGGGGACCCCCGAGGTTACATCGGCTTTCGATGAAAATTTGTCTCCTATTCTGACTGTTTGAGTGCGCCCCGTAAGAAATTCTTTTATCCACAGGATTATTCGATGATCTATTCCCGTTTCTGACAATTTGGCAATTAAAAGGCCATGTGGAACAAGATCAAATGCCTTAGAAAAATTTAATATTATTGCGTCGACCCTACTCCCTTCGTCTAATGAATCTGCTATGTCCTGACAAGAAGCAATTGTCTGGCTGTCGCACGAATACCCAGGATGAAAACCGTGATGATTTTGAAATAGCCAATCAGTTTTATTCCAAACTCGTCTAATATACTCAGCGATTGTGTGATCCATCTGTTTGCATACGACTGATGTCAAACTTATAGGCCTGTAATTGTTAACAATCCTTCTGTCTCCTCCCTTGTGAATCGGCACTACGACTGCCTCTTTCCAATTTTGAAGAATCGTGTTATTATTTACAGTAACCTCCATTAACCGCGCAAGGTACGTAATCATGGCTTCCCGTCCCAGTTTTAGTATTTCTCCTGGTATTCCATCAGGACCTACTGATTTATTTCTCTTAATTTTTGCAATTCGTTTTCTCATAATTCCTTTATCGATTTGAAAGGTTTCTATTAAGGGTGTTGTTTTGCTTACTAGGGTTTGATCCTTCAGCTTGAAAACAGATGAATAATGTCTGTTTAAACAAGCCGCCTTTTCACTGTCATCTGTAATTAATGAACCATCTGCTCCTCAGATCGCTGGAATACCTCAATTCTGAGAATCATCAGTTTAATTCTAGAACAAAAACTTAAACTCTTTACAAAAAAAAATCTTCGTATGATTTGTATGTTTAGCTTTAACATGGAATGTCTGAAGTCTGTAAATAGGTAATGCATGTTTTAAACCTATTTTCTCTAAAAGATTCATCATATTCCTCAGAAAATTCTTCACAGAGCAAAATGCATTGATTATTTATTTTACTGGGTCCAATCTGCTTTAAGCAGTATTCACAAATGGGGCTAGATGATTTCAGAATATTTGAGGTTGAAGAATGCAATAATTCATCCAAGAAAGAGATGAACATGCTATTCCAACAAAAATATATTTTATTGCTCTAATTTTACAGGGTAAATGGTGTGTAAATTGCTTCTCCTGATAGCACACAACACGAACATTTACTCATGTCAGTTAATCAACAGAAGATAAATTTTCCGGGCTGGTAGGCCGTGGTTTAGTTGGCATTGAAGGGCCACTGAGGATGTCCACCGCAGACGTGGACAAAACGTTGATTGATATTGAATCAATATTGAAGTATTTAAAATGCCTTAATTTTGATGTATGGAATTACCAGTATGCTCAATTTAATTCAGGTTGTGCGAGTAAATGATTTACTATCTAAAAACTATGGAAAATCATGATGTCTTGTTTGTCTCTAATCTGTGTCTTATTACTTTGTCATGAAATAGCTTAATTACCAAACTCCAGTGTTATCTAACTATAAACCATTTGCATTGAGGATTATAAAGATGAAATTGAAGTATCTGGACAATAAGAAAGCATATTAAAATTGATGTAATGTTTATTGTCTAAATACCCTGAAAACATTTCTTGGGCGTTCAAGATTTGTTTCTACACATCCAATGCCTATCAATGTTTCAGTTTTTAGGTGCTGTAATATTTAGTTGATGCAGTAATGGTTTGTTTAATGATGTATAACAAGAATCGGTTGTTTTCTTAATTTGTCTGTTTCATGAGGCCCAATATTCATTCAGTCATGGTCTAAAGTACACTTTGAAATGCTAACAACTTATACAAAAGATAGTTCCCTATTTGATAATTTTAATTTAATTTCAGATAAAATTTTTAATTTGTCATTTCATATTAATTTACATTGCTTATATTACAAATGCATTATTGTGTAGAATTTCAAATAAAAAAGTTAATGAAAAGTAATTTATGTTATCTGTAAATATAGTTTCTCATTTTGTGTTGTTTTGGACACATTGAAATTTTTATTGATTTCTAATTTGTTTATGCTTATATTGCATAAAATTAAATGACTAGCATGGAAATAATGACTGTTCATTTGGTGTAATTTACTGTGAAGTTTTTTGTGTACTTTCATTATCAAAAGTCAAAATTTGGGAAACTTCTCTCAGAAGGTATAAGAAGTATTAGTAGAAAGGTTTTGTTCATTACCTTCTCTCAACTGCAATGAACATCAGACCATTGTCTTTTGTAGGATGAATATTCAAATTGAAATGAAAATTACAGTGTACTCGAATTTTTATGAAGTGGATAAAACATTTGATACATACCATCAGTTGGTGGACATATCTTCTTATTACAACACTTCATTGGTCATCTAGCTCGGCCTAATGGCCTTGTTTGATAATTGAGTACTTCCATTAAAAAATGTTGGATGTGAGAATTTTAACAAAAGCAAGGTTCCAGTGAAAACACCTTGAATATAGAAACCTTTTGTTATAGCATGGTTAAATTCAGGAAAATTTCACTTCATGAGATGGTACCATCATATTTATGTTGGTTCTAGAATATTCTAACAAAATTACAACACTAAATAAACAATTTTTTTTAATCCTTGAAAAGTTGTCAAACTTGATCGTTCTTTCATGGAGGTACTCAATTCTTGGAATTAGTATTGTAATATAATGTTTAAATACTTATTTGCCAAGATGATGAATTAAGCAATTTTTTTATTTTTGTAGCGCAACAGTTACAAATCTACAAGCCAAAGTGGAAGCATTAATGACAACCAATGCCCTCATGAAGGAGGATTTAGCCATTGCCAAGAACAACATTCTGGCGTTGCAAGAGGAAAACCATTCTCTGCGAGTTCGTGAACTGCCCCCTGGCGGAGAGAGCAGTCCTGTTGCCACAAATGGTGCGCCAGCCAACGATGAGGGGGGTGGCGGAGGGGGAGGAGGGAATTCTCTCTCTGCGAAAGAGCTGGAGGAGTTAAGGGCCCAGCTGGAACAAGAGCGAAAGTCACGTCTAGAGCTAGAAAAGGAACTAGACTTGCAGGTATGCACATCAGATGCAAAGTGAAGCGGAAAGTGTCTTATCCCCATTTTTAAATTCTCTCATACGTAATATGCAGTATGTAATGCTGCAGCAAAAAATGGCTATTTTTTGGCAGAAAAATTCATAAGTTTTCAATACTGAAACGGTGGATAATTCTTGTTCTTATATATGGTACATTACGTGCTCTGCCTCATGTAATCAGAATCCATGCTTTGTGACTCCTTGATACTGAAAAATTGATTTACACCACAATGTCTGACAGTCTGTCCTTCTGCTGTCTTATCTGTCCATATATCTCCCTGTTTGTGAATAATGCTAGCAGCTGAACCGTGAGCAGGATTTTCACCAAAATTGATATTCCCCACTTGATCTGACTAATGTCGGACCCGTTAAATTTGAAACCAATGTTTTAATTTTAGGGGATGCTTTACACAAAGCCTCAAGGACATTTTAAAAATTTTACATAACAACACTTTTAATGTTATGAAAGTTCATTCAAAATGTTATGAAAGTTACTCTTTGGCTTTTGTCTTACTGCAATTTCCATATTTTTTTCATGAACTACAAGAGGAATGCTTGTTTTGCCTGCTTCTAAACATTAACAAACAAGAGTGACTTATGTCATTAAGTGTCTCACATCATGAAAAAGTGACGTATAATTTTGCCATCTTAGCATAGAATTTATTTGATTCCTGGCCAAAGCCCAAGAACCATTGTATGTTATAAATACAATTCCCAAAGTGAAATAGTTTTCAAGGATTATTAGTAAATCCCAGAATTTCAGGCGTTTATTTTTCCTAAAACAGGCAGGCAAAAAGGCATTTATTGTGGTTAAAGTAGTGGTGCATCACATTTAAAAGATTATTGTAAAAAATTAATTACAATTATTCACAATTTTATTCTCACTTTAAAATTTACATTAGCACTTAGTATAAGAAAACTTAATTTTCTTTGTAATCTTAATACCACATTACCACTTGATATAATGACTACTGATTTGTTTTAATCATGATGCTATCACTTCAAAATGTAATTGTGGACTCCCTTTTCTGTCTTGAAATGGTATCAGTGAAAATGAAATGTAATGTTTCATTCTTCACTCTTGTGCAATTGCCAGCTCAGAGGAGGGAACATGAAATAAAGAGCTCTGTCTTCAAAAGGGATTGGAGGCTACACTCAAAAGTAGGATTGATTATCTTGTGAGCAAACAAAGCCTGTCGGCATCAATGAAAAAAGTAAAAGATCTTTATTGATATCATCTTCCTTTTTCATTCACGTTCATATTTCATTTATAGATGGTATTTAACATTACCTGGCCCTGAAGCCACGGCTTCCATCGAAAGACAAAATACGACTTTGTCTTCTTGCTGTCCAGGTTTGCAAGTTCTGGGCCCTAATTATTAGAATCTGTTGATACTCTTAGGAAGATAGAAAGCAACCTTTTATATCTTTGACATAAAGACTTGTACTGACAGCTTCCTCAAACCCATTATAGTATTTGGTCGGCAATTTTACATTAGTAGCCATTCTCCTGGAAGCAAAGAGGATATTTTCTTTTTAACTTGAAAAGAAAATCTGAGTTCTCATTAATAATTTAATTGTTCTACAACATAATGAGATAATTGTAAACAAAATGAAAGATCTAAATTTGGTTGTTTGTCTTCCTTTGGAATAATGATAGTACTCATGTGGCCTACCATTTTTCAACTTTCTTGTGTTTTACACTTTACTGCATTTTTCACTTTTTTCATTGGTCCCCTGAAAAGTTTAAAAAAGGGGTTTTACTGTATATATAAAATGTGCTTCTCTTACCCTTCCCTTACCTTTTCAGGCATGAATCTATATAATTTCAACAAGAGTTATATTTATAAATTAGCTCACATTCTAAATTTCACAATACTAACGATGTTATAATTTATTGGCGGCAAATCAATATCAAGATCACTATAGCAAGTCTTCATGCACTTAATGAAGTGAAATAGCAATAGATATTTGTTTTGACATTGAGAAAATATATTAATTTAATGAAACTGTGATAGGAGGGGATATTTTTATGAATTATTTCAATAATAACTCGTAGATAAGTTGGTATTTTAAATGATGTAATAAATCTATTTTCTAGAGGGATTTTTATAGTTCATGCCTTTTTAAGTGCATGTATTTGATATTTAAATCTTAAAAACAAAGAACAATAAAATTATTATTTACTGGTAACATTCAGAGGAAGAAGTTAGTCCTCATTTTTTTTAACCTGAAATGACGGTGTGTGCAAGTTTAGACAAATCGTTTTCTTGTGTAGGTTAGCCTGAAGGCAGAGATGGAGGTAGCCATGAAATTATTGGAGCAGGACATTCATGAGAAACAGGATACCATTATTTCCCTGAGGAGACAACTGGATGATATCAAATTGATCAACCTAGAGATGTACAAAAAATTGCAGGTATGTGAAGAGATGAGAATTTACAGGTAAACATCCATTAGTGCATTTTTTGTGTAATAGAACCTCAGTTAAGTATGCTATTTCAAAGGGATGGGAAAGATATTCTTAAGAAGATATCCTTAGCTAAGATCCTTATTCCTCCCCAATTCTGGCCAATGAGTAGATGACACAGGGCGTGTGCGGAACACGAGCACCAAGACGCTACCTGTCGGTGATTCCCTGACTTGACTGTGACTGACTTGAGTATGACTACTCATCGGCCCCTAGAGGGTGCTAGGTGCAGAAATTAATAAAGGATTACTCCATCCACGGTGTGCTCAATACTCCTTAATGCTAGGAGACATGTTGCGTTACGATTAAGATACTAGTGAAATAAAATATGAAAAATGGAAACACCGAAAAAATAATCCATCTATTCTGTTTAGTATTCCAGCTAGTGGTGTGTTCTGCTGCACTTTTCCTTCTGAACAAACCCTCACAAAATGATTGACAAAAACAGTCTTATGGGGCCGTCCATAAATTACAAATTACAAATTTGCAGTATTTTGAATACCCTCTCTCCCCCGTAATATATCTGTAACACATGCTTGAACCCTCCTCTCTAATAATTACATAATGCTTGTCACTGCAACTCCCCCCAAATTCCCATAAGTTAAACTCAATTTTAAAGCAGAAATGAATTGTATTAATTAATTTGTGTTATAATTTAAAATTCATTGTAATTAATGTGAGACTTAGTTAGTGATGCTAACTGCGCAAAACAATACAATTGAATTGAATTAATGCCTTATTTTATGTGGCGAGACTCGATTGAGACGAGACGAAGGTTGGGGACAATTTTTTAATGAAATAAGGTTGCGTAGGCAAGAAAATTTCTGCCAAGCCGTGCAATGCCGTTCTGGATGACGAATAGGCTCCGAGTTTACTGCGCCAACTAATGGAATTTTAGAATATACTATAGATCAGTTTTAATATTTTCTTCATAATCTGAAAAATTTAATCAATATATCGTTGATGAAAAATATTTTCATTTATTGTAACAATTTATAGAATATATCTTCTTTTAATTTATTAGATTTTTAATTTAATTTGTTAATACGATAATGTTTTAGTATAGGACATAGGAAACTTGGGGAAATGCAGAAGTATATACTAAAATTAAAATTAAGAATTGCTATATTTTTCAATAATTATCCCAAGCCCTATACCTAGCATATGCATTGATGTATTCTTATATGTTCATGTATACACATATTCATTTATAAACAACTAAAGATAAACTGTATAACTAACATCATTGCAGATTACTGGATACTAGAAATTAACAATGCAATAGAACATAATTAACCAATTATATACATCTTAAACACCCTTTAGCTTAGAAAATAGCTCACCTTATCAAAAAACACATTACTATAGAACCACTCCACTTCACTAAAGTGCCATTCCCTTTGTATAAATCTACCTTGTTTTTTTACTTATTGTCGTATTGTAATTAAACATATTTAGATTCAAACATCCACAGAAAGCCTACATGAAATACAAATAAAATTGTAGAATATATTTTCTAATTGTTTATTTATAATAATGAAAACAAATTATTTTGTTTTGGTTAAATCAAATAGTGTCATCAAAATAATTAACACAATAAATACTTGTTCAATTTTCTTTTTAAAAAGGGCAAAATTGTATTTGTGAATTTGAATCATCAGCTTTTGAGGAGGCCTAATGAGTCCTTTCCTTCCGGAGATGCGTCCTGTGATTATACATAACCCAAGTTACTTTTTTTGACCTATGACTCCCCCCGGTACAATAAACAGGTGAAGGTTTATAGCTCACACGAGACACCTTGAACTCCTGGGTAATTTAGAAGAACTTATAACACATGTTTTCCTGCATAGTGGATTAAAGTGTTATTTTCAAGTTCTTTTTAATAGAAATATCATTGAGTACAATTAAGTAAACATTAATTATGAAACCGAGACCCAGCATGAGCTTAAGAAACAAACATTCGCTTAGAAGGAATATCCTACTTAATTCACCTGTGACTTTTCTTGACTGATGGCTTATCACCCCCCTTATTATTGAGAAAGTTGTGAAGGCAAGGAAGTTAGAAAAAGGGAACAAGATTTTCACGTTTTCTCTTAAATAACGCTTTGGATTGGGTTTCTGGTTACATTGGAACATGTTGTGCTGCAGAACTGCATTACAAATTAAAACAAGTATTTCAGTGAAACAGAAAATAAAGACTAAAAGAAACAATAATCCTTTTAATTCCCTAGAAATGCTGGATAAAAAAAGTATTTAGTTTGGCAGCAAGTAGCATTCAAGGAGACCATTTATCATATTCTATGTAACATGCTTTGCATATGTTCACCAACTTTTCCACAGATCTTAGGGTGAAAGTTGGATTTGTAGTATTTTAAGTCTTAAATAAAGTTTGCCTACTTACTTGCAGCCAATGAAGCTGTAAATTATAAAAGGAAAAAGAAGGAGAAATGGGTAAGAACTTGGAATAATAAAATAAAAGAAACCGTAGCCCCCCCCCCCCCAAAAAGAAAGCATATTAAAAATATTTTCAAACACACAGTATAGAAGACTACACTGAATATACAATATGTAGATCTCAGACAAGAAGAATGACATGGAGCGTTAAAAGAGAAGACTGGGAAACATTTGTGATAATGCTAGAAAGGGATATCACAGGCCCCCAGTGAAATTGTTTAAAATCTTAAGAATGTAAATCGGACACAAGGGTAAAAATCAATTTGGACCTTATCCTGCTGTGAAAACCATTATACAAGTCTTAAGAATAGCGACAGACCACCAAGTATAAGGAGAAATGATACTGAAATTACTGAACGAATTAGAGTGCAGGAAATAACTATAGAAGAACTAGAAAACTAGAAGCAGTCATAAAGAAAGTGAAAATGGGCAGGGGGGGGGACAGGTGTAGATGAAATCCCAACTTCTAAAATACAGAGGAAATGATCTCAAGAATATCCTAAGTAAACTACTTAACAAAGCTTGAGGAGAGTATTCACTTCCAAGAGAATGGCAGGTAGGTGTAGTGATAAATTTACATAAGATTAAAAACAGATTGCAACAACTATAGAGGGATCACTCTCCTGTCTACAGTATCAAAACTTTTTGCTCATATCTTTAGAAATAGCTTAAATGAATATAGCAAAAAAAAAAAATTGTGGGAGAAGAACAATATGGATTTAGAAAGGGCAGAAGTTCAAAAGATGCTATTTTCACAGTATAGACAAATCTGGACAAACGAAATGTAGTGAATCTTCCAACTTTCCTCCTCTTTATAGACTTTAAAAAGCCTATGGTTGGGTGAACAGAAACAAAATGTGGTAAATACTGGAAGATAAAGAGATACCTACAGACATAATGAAAGGAATCCAGAATCTGTATACAGACTCAGATTAAAGTAAGATTGAATGATGGAAGATATACCAAGACTTAGAGAACAACCAGAGGACTGAGACAGGGATGTAGTCTATTACCATGCCTGTTTAACATTTATGCAATCCCCATGATCAAAAAGGGGAAACAAAATGTGAAAACCAGTATAAATTTAAACAAAAGACAAACGGTCCAAACAATTATATATGCAGATGACATGATCCTATTTATGGAATCAGAAGATGTCTTACAGAGGACAGCGAATGAACTTCATAAAATAGCCCTAACATATGACATTCCAAGGCAAAGAAATGAGTAGGCTTAAAATTGTTATAAATGGAAAAATAATAGAACAAGTAGCAAAATTTATGAATATAGGAAACATCATTGAACAAAATTCAGAAGAACAAGACAGAATAATTCAAAAATATAATGGGGTAAATGGAATAATCAAGAAAAAAACTTTGGAAGAGCTATGACAACAGACACAAAACTAAGTATACATAATATAACATCTATGCCAATGTTAATGTATAGATCAGCAACATGGACCGTAAAACAAAGAGACTGTCAGAGATTGGAAGCCATGCAAATGAGACTTTTCTGTCACCTGGTAAAAACTACAACTGGTAAGTCTAGATCGACAAAGAAACACTGAAATCAGAAAAAAACTCAAAGCAAAAAATATAGTGGATGACATTAAAGAGAAACCAGAGGAGATGGCTTTCACATCTGCAAAGAATGTAAGCAGAAAGATTTCCTAAAGCAGTTTTATTTTAAGTATAGCTTTCATGACGATGACGACAATGATGATGATGATTAATTAAGTTTGCCTTGTTTAGACTATCACAGTTGATTGGAAGGAATTTGGGCAAACAAAGTATGTTTCCTTGCGTCTATTTGCAAAGCCTTGACATGCATTACATTGAAATGAAGGTTTGACTTTGATTTTCCAGAGGTTGGCATTGCTTCAAAAATTTTAGGGGTCAATTTTGTAACTATAATACTTTCCAATCTACCCATATTTCTCCAAGTCATTGGTTAAGAAAAGTTGTGCAGTTATTGAATGTAGTACTGTAGTTTCATATTTCTTCTTTCTAAATATTGCTAAATTAGAAAGAAAAAAATATCTTTAATTTGATAATTCTACTTCTTCCTCTTCATCTTCCCCTTCATATTTTCTAGTTCATCATTGGTACTCAAATAGCCAGTCTACAGTTTGCTTGGTAAACATAATTTACAATATGTTTCTAAAGTAGTTTTAATAAATTTGTTGGTAAAACACATATACACTAATAAAAATAAAATTGTCTTCACAAAATTTATTAAAAATGTACAAATATCAATTAGTTACATTAATAAACATACTTATGTATTTGTTACATAAGGCAAAGCTAAGAACAGTTCAGCACAGCCACAGTGTGAGAAATAAAGAGAACCTCTCTTTTGCCCTTTCTTTTTTTAATTGGGCCTAAGGGAAAACAGTCAGAGTTGCTTTTGCTGTAACTTCACTTTGGTGCTATAAGCGTTGCTGCTGGCTGTAAAGTGTTTGCTTGGATACACCACAAAAAGCAACTCACTAGAATTGTATGAAATTCATTTAAACAAAGCAAGTCTTAATCGGTTAGTAAACTAGAATTGTAAAGAATAAAAAAATAATTCATAGGAAAAAAACTAATTTTGGTTGAATATAACATCTTGAAAAGCTTTTCTTTTGCGGATCCATGTTCATTTTTCCATATTTTTACATCACCTAATTTAGTTCTGTACGGTTTAAAATCCCCATCTTGCAGCGGTGCTCAATACTATAAGTATAATTAAATAATGGGAATTAGTATTGCAGTCAATATTGAAATTTTGGAAGGGAATGTGTGTTCTAGTGTGGAATACCTATAATTTATTTACTTATTTTAGTTAGTTTTTTTCACATATTTAGAATAAATACAGAACAAATGACAAGAACATAAACGCAAAGCAGTCAAAGAGTTTATTTCTTAAATTAGTTTGAAATTTATATTATGTTGGATAAAAAAATGTATCTATTTTATTTGTACTTACCAGTCTTTTCAATATTCTAGCAAAGAAAAAATAGCCATAATTAGTTTGATGCTTAAGTGGAAGAAAAAATATTAATCTCATTAAATAGCTGAATAAAAAATACTCTACAAAGGAAAAGTGGCTTCAAACTAATTGGCCAAGCTTTTTGTTGAAATTAATTCTGTTTTAAAAAATCCTATTTTGAATGACTGTTTTTTGTGATCTGTGAAAAATTATCATTTCGTAAATCATTAAAACTTTTCTTTGTACTTTTTGTATCAGGGCAAAAGTTATCATTGTATTGCTTATAGGAGTGTGAGCAAGAGCTGACGGAGAAAGGTGAGATGGTGACGCGGCTTCAGGCCAAGACCACTCACATTGGCAACATGCTCAACAACCTCGAAAAGTTCAACCACCTTCAGAAGGACGCAGACCACAAAAGAGGTGGGGGAGGCCGGGCGGGGGGAGGGGATGGCCGGCGTATTGAGCCTATTCAGTGTCATGGTAAAAGCCACGGCTCAAGGAACGGAGCCAACGGCTCTCAGTCTGCTTCTTCTGCGGCATCTGCTCAGCAGCAGAACAAGAAGTGATGGACTTAGTTCTTCTTGGGTCACATCTGGCTCATGAAGGCAGATGCTACTACCAGATATTGGCTGATAGAATAGAGCTGTGTACTCACTCTAAAACTGTATGAGGAAAAAATTAATTATATTGGAAGAAGTGATTGATTAAACTTCTTTGGCCCAAATTTCATTGTGAATCTAATCTGTTTGAAAAAAAGGTTCATAGTTATGAAAGAATAAATTTAAATTAGACTGTACCGTCATAATTAAAGTAATAATAATCCGTTAAAGTAAATAGTTTGAAAACAAAATTTCATATTGAAGTGCTTATATAAATATTTTTTGTCTCGTGTACGTAACAAAATGAATAGAGATATGCAAAAACAAAGCCATTAGAATTTCATAAATATTTTTTCTTCAATTGAGTTATAATATTAATATTAAACATTGCAATCCAATACCTTTTGTTTTTGAGAGAGCACTGCCTTCTAGAGTTTGTGTGATTTATATTCTGGTGATATGTTGCAATATCTCACTTCCAATGAATCCTCTGGACGATTTCTTCTCTTGGTGTTGAAGGACAGCAAAGATATATTTTTTGTTCATATGACCAGAGACATTGTTTGTGTGACCTTTTTGCAGGAATGTGAAAGTTCTATAAAACATAAAACTGAGCTAAAGAATAAACTGGAGGCCAAGAGCACGGCAATGGCAGATACACTGCAGAAGATGGAGGAAAAGTACGTATCTTATTAATGCCCGGTTTGTGCTTCTGTGGCTTACTTTCCAGGAATGGTGGTGGTGGTGATAATGGTGGTGGTTGTGGCAGAATTTAAGGAATGTGATGAAGGAGGGTGGTGGTAGTTTAAAAATAACAGATCCAACCATTTATTTTGGATAGAGATATAATGACCAGTCTAAATTATGACCGTGCTAATTACTTAATTCACTAATGGTGCTATATATGGTGCATATCCTTTTCACTGCAACTTCTATTGTTGCCATCGGTATTAGTAAAACATTTTAACATGCTGTTTATTTCTTTACATGCTAAATGCCGAATGGAAACAATCTGCATAAGCATGAAAGAGGCTGAATGAAAGTTAAAAAGCATCTGTTGGAAACTTCAGATTAAAAGGAAGAAGTGATTTCTTCTTAAATATCTATTTTGAATTGGAAACACTATTGGACTATTTACAGACTGTGATGATATTTCAAATAGAAATCCATCTGTTAGTTTAGTTTAATTTATTATTCAGTTCGGTCATAGTTTCTGCTGGTCATGTAATTCACAAAGCTTTATCAAAGGTTAACCAACATTATAAATTATTTATTAACTCTCTTTGCTCTAAAAGCATTGACCTTCTGCTTAATAGTCTTTTGAACTGAACAGTTCTGCTAATATTAGTTTTGAATATGGACATATTAATTTTTGAACATTAAAGAAACTTGATGAATTATATTATATAAATTCTGACTTCCATGTTGTTAGTGCATAAATAAATCCCATCTTTTGTTCCATAGATAGCGATGAATACCTGCAAAGCCAATCTCTCTTCTGAACTCTCAACATAATTGAGAATTTATTATTGTGTTCAATTGTATTTTTCTTTTCATTGTTTCTCAATTTTTTGGTTTGAATAATCAGGAACATTCTCAGATGTCTGTAGAAATTATGTTTAAAATTCACTCTGAATAACTTATTCAGTGTGGGAATAGATTTGTCTTTAGCTACAATAATTTAAATTATAGATTTTCAAAACTTATTTCATACAGATTTCCAATGAAAATTCAATAAAATATTCCACATGGTGAGCCATACATCTGCTCATAAACATATCACTCCTTTTGCTAAATTGCATTACAGCAATGTCATTGGCAAATAAGATCTTGTATAGAGTCTTCAACTAGAGATCATATCTTGTAGGATATAAATAATTAGATAATCGTGTATGTTTTAAAACTTTTTGTTCTTGTGTTTCGTGTTGAAGCATTTTAAAGGCTTTTTTAAAGCAGAATTATGTATATTCTTCATTTTAATGCAACCTATCATTATAGTCCTTCAATAATGAATATAAATAGGCAGCTACATTAATGAAAGAAGTCTGTGGGCTACATTTTAGCATCATTTGCTCTTTGATAGGGAGAGTTTCCACTGATAGATACAAAATGTCCACCTTGGTCTCGTGATCATAGTTATTTTTTTGGTTTTTGTTTTTCAAGCTGGTGATGAAAGTTGGGCAACTACTGGAAGCAACCTTCAAAATGCACAATATTAAACTTATAGAATTGTGATACTCTGAATTTAAATATTATCTGATTCGCTAGCTGAATTACTATATCTATAGTAATTTGATGCTGCTTGTTTTTACAATCTTATTGGAACTTCTGATCAGTAGTAAATAATTTTTTATTTATATTTCTTTATTTTTTCTTTATCTATGTGTTCTCTAACTAACTGTTTTTAGTTGAAGGAATTTGGGATGTGATTGCATGATATATTTTTATTTGTGGGTGCTTAATTTAATCCTGGGCTTGGATTCAGATGACATGTTATCTTTTCACTGATGCGTTCTAAATGTAGCTAACTTTTAAATGAAAGTTTATTACAACATGAAGGTGACAGAAATAGTTATTGCATCATTTTTTGCCATTTTTCAATTTTTATGTCATTTTTCTGAACATTTACGTTATTTTTGGCATTTTATTTCCTTTTTGTGTATTTTTGTTAGTGAATATTTCATAAATTTGCAATGGCACAAAGTTTTTATTGTATTGTCATTTCATGATGAAATTCACTACTGCAGTGGACTCTGTTTTTAAAGCTCTCAAAATTACACGTATTTTCAGTAACTTCCTCGTCCTTTCAAAAATGACTGTTGGAAATCAGAGCAAAGGATTACATTTCCTCTAAAAAAAATATTTTATATTAAATATTATTTTATATAAATACATTTTATGTAACATTGTAAAACACATTGAATAAATGAACATATTTAAAATCATTTTTGGTATTTTTTAAAGAATGAGGTCATTTTGTCTTATTTTTAAGTCATTTTGTAGGTAATTTTCAAAGAATTTGTTTGTGATCAGAATCCAAGTCCTAATTACATTTAATTCTTTGGGAAGAGATTTATTGTTAGTATGTTATTTTATGTATGGCCAGAGATTTCATCCTAGCCAGAGAGACAAACATTTCAGTCCTCATCACTTGATCTTCTTCAGGCCAGAAGTACTTGATTCCAAGGGTCAATACTTCAGTCTCTTTGTCTAGGATGCAACATTTTTTAATCATTTATTTTATTATACTATTTCTTAGACAAAGGCACAGTTAACAAGTAAAACAAGAAGTTATATAATGAATAAACTGAAAGGGACTGACGATGAATCTCATTTATCTATAAAATTAACTCAAACATATATTTTGCAGCTTCAACCAAAGTTGCAGTGAGCATAAGGGGTTAATTGTGCCAGAAATGTTCTGAGGGAAAAGTTTTGAATGTTAATTATTAGAAAAGCAGAAGAGAGATAGGGTACAAAAATGATTAATGTTGAATAGGTGTTGAATAAATATAATTGCTATTAAGTAACCAAGGAAATGCTTTTAATGTGCGATAAATTCTGTTACATGCATATTCTCTTTTAATTGAATTTAATTTTTAATTTGAATTGAGAAACATGATTAATATATTATTAAACACAATAAAGTTATGTCCTTTTCCTAGTTTTGAATACAAAAAAGATGTTCATTTTTTCTTCATAATGATGGTTCATAATGTTGTTGAACATTTACATATCCCTATAAATTGCTATAAGTACTATTAGCCTAACATTCCTCAGTGATACGAGGTTATTATTGTGATCATTTCTTTCATAGAAGACCCAAAGGTAAGGTAAGGTGAGGTGAAATCAGGAATAAAATATTAAATTGATTTTCAAATTCATGTTTGGGCATTTTTAGAGAAAATATGTTCTAAGTATTGACGTATATATGTCTGTTGTATATTGATTCCATGTGCAGTTTTTTTCCCTTCGTTATTTGTCTTGCACAAGTCAATGGTTCTGAATTTGATTCTAGCAAATAATTTTCATCTCTGTGTAAACACAATCTATATAATTCAATCTTTAATTTTTAAAGCTAGCCATTGTGATAGATTCATTTGTTTTAAATTTTGAGTGGTCTCTTTTCAAACCTATATCCAGTCTTTCACTTGTGTGCATATAACTAAGTTCTTAGACTGTGGAAATGTAACTGGGTGAGTTGTGATGTGACAGTGGGAAATACTGGCAAACCTTCACTACAGGCACCACACAACCCCCAGGAGTCTCAAAACGTTTACCATTGCTGCCTTGTTATCACTACAGCATTGGCCTTGACTAAACACATTACTGACAGATTGTAATAGGTAACTGTAGACCTTCTAAGACATGTTACGACTTTAAATTTGTTGCAGTGTGCGTTGATGTATTTCTTAATGAACAACCATGAAGGACTCTATGCTTACTTGCTTGTAATAATAATTATTGCCAAATAAAGCATTTATTGATGAAAAGAGTGTCAATGTGGTTCTTATTTATCAAAATTATCTTACTCCATTTCCTCAACGTTTTTTGTTTTGATTTGTTTATGTTAAATTACTTCATTCTTTGTTCATTGTGGTTTTTCTGTGTTGATGGTTTGCCATTCCAGTGCAACCTTGATATTAAAAAAGCTCATTAACATTGATGTGTATGAGAATTATCAGTTGCCCTGTTAATCAGTTCATTAATTTATTCACATTTGCTCATAAATGTGATCAAAACTGAATAAGAATATTTTGGTAAATAAATTATTTGAGTAGAAGATTTCAACATGAGTAATAAATTTCATAGTTTCATTTTTGTTATCAAGGTTGTAGTGAGCCTGCAATGGGTGAGTGGTGGTCTGTGTGATTGAAGTGAGTCATGAATTATCTTGAATTTATTTCAAAGAATAATTCCATGATTTATTAATGATAATTTGTAATTTCTTATGAGTTTTCATTTCTTCTTTTAAGTTGTCCATTTCCCTTTTCTCACATTTTATTGTGTATTTTGGTTACATATATTTGTGTGTTTCTTATAGGCCGCTTATATTTGGCTTTTTGCTTTTCTGAGGTTCTAAAAGCATACACCAGAGAAAATTGCTAGCCAGTATATAATTTAAATTTTTTAAGTAACTTTTATCTACACTCTTTAAAAGATTGTAGAAAATTTCCAGTGACATGATGCTTGATAATTTTCTATTTAGTTAAAGCATAAATCAGAAAATCGAGGACTTTTGTTGCTGCTTTCTTTGTTCATCGTCACTTGGGATGAAACGTTTTATTTATTTATTTTAGTTCTAGTGCATCCAAAGAAGTAAATTTTTCAACTTATTTACTGAACAATTTCAGGAAAGAATTTGAGTGAATCTTGTAATGAGTCTTTCAAAACATGTGAGAAGGCAATATGGACAGTAATGCGGATATTTTCAGGAATGATTCACAAGTCATGTTTCTCATATCAACTCCCATATTTTTGTTCTTTAGGCAGGAGATAATCAGTCTGTAAAAATTAAATAGATGTTACTGAATGAATTTATTGCTGTTCAATTGGATTGGACAAAATGTGCTGATAGTTTCCCAAAAGAGTTGGTCCATATTGAATGTTCATTCCAATTCTCGTAGAATGTGTGTGTGTTTCAACAAAATATATTTTACGTTTTCGCCTTTACAAAGGTACTTTGTAAGAAGAGAAAGTTATGTAATCGTGCTCTGGGAAGCAGTGAATCTTGGGCAGAAAAACTTTTATTGCTGGGCCCTGGTAAAGAAAATGTGGATAAATCCTGTTTCTAAGTGTAGAAAAAAATCCCTAATATGTGGTGTTGCCAGAATCCTTGTTTTGACTGTCCTTGATACCGAAAACTTGATTGAGAACAAAATGTCTGTCTGTCCGTCCATCTGTAGTCAAAGCAAGTGCCTAAACCGTTCTGCTAATTTTCTTCAAAATTGATATTCTTTGATTGATCTGAATGAACTTGAGGCATTGGGAGTTTCAAATAGATATTTTGATTTCTGAGGCTACTTTACAGGAAACCTCAAAAACAGTTTCAAAATTTTCTCAAAAATGGCACCAGATTGTTTGATCAAATTATGTCTTCAGATAGCATAAAGCTTAAGAGAATGATACAGTTCTTATATTTGTTGAAATTCCAAATTTTGTGAAAATTGCAAAAGTGCAATTTTTTTGGGCGTCTTCCTATAAAATTGAAGATAGAGCAATTTTTTAATGAAATCTGTTCTTCAAAGATGAATTTTTAAATAGTTCATGTTTAATTTTTTATGTATATGAGTAGTTGTCATGTAATTTGGCATAAAATGTAGGCAATAAAAAAATCTTTTTTTCTGTCAAAAACTGCTCCAATTTTTTCCACCGATACAAGAAGAGATATTTAAAAGAATGTGGTGCAGATCTGATTTTTGTTGAACACTCTGAATTTTCGAAAATTGCAAATTTAGAAATAATACAAGAAAATATGTGCTGTTGCAGTACCACTACTTAAATATTGGATTAATGAAATAATTATATATAGAAATGCATGTAGTTCTATCTTAAAATAAATACATTAATTTTTATTTGATTTGTTTGAATCTTATTAATGGTAAAACATATTCTGAAAACATTAGTCAAATGTTGATGTTAATAAAGTGTTAAAGGGTACAAAATATTAATAAGAAAAATTGTACATGAAATTAAACCTTAGAAAAAGTCCCAAATATCCTTCAACCCATTTAAAGGTAATGTTTTGAAGTAGCTCTACATACATGGAAACCAAAATGTGTCCATAAAATTGTTTTGTTAAATTTCTTTGAATCTGTAACATTCTTAATTCTCAATGAACTGGGTTGAAAAAGCGACATGATGAATTAGGTTGGGTGTATAAAAAATTGAATCTCTATGGAGCCATAAATCTTCTGTTTTAAATAAAAGTATTTCTAATTCCCAGCAGGTGAATTCCTTTTCCTTAAATATCAAGAATTGATCACATTAATTGAAAGATGATGATCAATTAAAATAAAAAATGGAAAATCAAAATTAATCATTTCTTTTGAACTAAATCTTCAAGTTCTTATCAAATCTTTAATTTATTTCAAAGAATGCAATGATTCTTGTTTGAATTCAAGTCACAAGTAATTGAAGTTATTAAATAATAGGAAATACAAAGAAAGAGAGTAACAAAATTGGTACTTACTACTTTGACTATTTCCTGAACCAGGTAATATGGGATATGGACAGTACCAGAGCTAGACAGTTTTTGGCCCCGGGCAATGCTCAAACATAGCCCCTCCCCCACCCCACCCCCACCACACCCGAAAAAAATGAAAAATGAGAATGTTGTGTCAAGAAACTATATAATTTATTTTATTTCAACAAATATCAAAAAATACATTTAAGATAGAAAAAAATTTTGGAAATATATTTTAAATAATATTTTTAAGTAAAAGTATTTAGTAATGAAATAATACTATTTCCACAGTGAGCTTAAAACACTAAATAATTTTGAATTTAGGTAGTGTTTAATAAAATAACATGTTAAATACATGAAATAATAAATATGAATTTCAGTATAACCTATTTTAATGTTGGCATCGTTTGATTTGGTTCATAGTTCTACCTTAGAAGTAATGACTATAATTAACTATTTAACGTTAAAATATTAATTGAAAATTTTAAGAATTATCATACTCTTGTACTGCAACTTATAAAATTACGATAAAGTTTACGTTTGAGTTACGTTACGATTGAGTTTTAAATTCTTTTTCAGTTACTGTTTTTTTCCCACCTGTCCTATCATCAGGCCCCATGACTCGCTAGGTCCTGGGTGATCGCCAGATCTGCCCTGGCTTAGTGCTGGCACTGAATATGTATTGGTAGTTCTAGCTGAACTGAATCGTTGCAATTTGAAATGTATTGTAAATATTTAAAAAACCTACCGCTGCAAATTCTCTCAAGTATCACAAAGATTTGACTAAATTTCCTGACATCTGGGATAGTATGTTTTTTCTTAGCAATGGCCTATTGTTTCATAAATTATTGATTTTTTGATTCAGTTCTAATTCTTTATTCAATTCCAATATTATGTTGTAGAAAATTCATTTTTCTTAATGGGTGCCCCTGCTCAGAGAACATTTTGTGATATTTTTTAGGAGTACTTTTCACTAAATTTACCTCAGTCATGTTATATTTACATGGAACTTTGAGCAAATATCTTATTTAAACTAAGGTAATATTGAAATTCCAAATGAAGAAACACGAAAGAACATCCAAAATAAAGCTGTTATTAGAGAGTAATTTTATATCTTATTTTTAAAGATTACTTTAGTGTGAAATGAAACTTACGTGAGTAATTATGCTGTAAGAATGTTTAAGTATCATCTGATTGGATGATTAGGAAGATAGAATTTTGAAGGGAAATCAGTGGTCCTAACAGATAAAATAAATATTTAACTTTAAGGATTATAAATTAGCTTTGAACACATGTGCACATAAAGAACATTGGTAGTGGCTGAGACTTGCATAAAATAGAAAATTAATATAACATTCCAATGCTGCAGAATGTATAAAATATGAAAACTGCCCATAACTCCTCCATATTTAAGAATTGAAAAGAGATCATTATAATTATTTTATAAAACTAGCTTATAAAAATAACAACTAATCAACATATTATAGAGTACATAACATTTGGAAATTTTTAAAGTATTTATGCTTTATTTATTATGTATAACTTATTATAAATAAAGGGCTTGATGTGAGAGAATCATAAGTAACACTTGTGCAGTTTTGAAATGCAACTTGTTTAATGTTTGGTGAACATGTGCAAATCAATGGGGAAATTTATTTTGTCGTATGGCTGGAAAATGGAAACCCATGAGACGGAATGAAAAGAGAAGCTCAAAGAGAATCATAGCCACTTACAGTGCCAGAGCTAGACAATTTTGGGCTGAGGCAAAGCTGAAACATAGGCCCCCTCTTTCCCCCAAAAAAATTAAAAATGTGAAATTTGTATCAAACTATATGAGTCATATTATTTCAACAAATAACAAAAAATATTATGTTTAAGCCAGAAAAAGGTTTTGGAAATATATTTTAAATCATTTTTAAGAGAAAGTTTTAAGTGGTCAAGCAATACAATTTCCATGGTGAGCTTAAAATCCTAAAAAACATTTGTTGTGTTTAGTTAGTCCTTAATAAAATAATTTGTTAAATATATGATATAATAAATATGAATTTCAAAGAACTTATTTTAACATTAGCGTCATTTGATTCATTTCATAGTCCTACCTTGTAATTAATGACTATAATTAATAATTTAAGGTAAAAAATTAATTGAAAATTTTATGAAATTTAAGACTTGTCTACCGTGACATAAAATTACGAAAACAAATTTCTTTTTCAATTTTTTACTAGTTTTTGCCCATCAGTTCCATCATCTGTCCCCTTGATGTGAGGGGCACTAGGTGATCACCTAGTCTGCCCATGCCTAGTGT